CACTTAACCGCTAAGCCACGGGGCCGGCCCCTATCCTTAATTTTTTGAGGAAACTCCATACTGTCTTCCACAGCGGCTGCACCAGTTTGCACTCCCACTGGCAGTGTATGAGAGTTCCCTTCTCTCCACATCCACTCCAACACTTGTTTCCTGTCTTGTTAATTATAGCCATTCTGATGGAAGTGAGGTGATATCTCATTGTAGTTTTGATTTACATTTCCCTGATAGTTAATGATGTTGAACATGGTTTCATGCGTCTGTTGGCCATCTGTATATCTTCTTTGGAGGAACGTCTGTTCAGGTCTTTTGCCCATTTTTAATTGGGTTGTTAGTTTTTTTGTTGTTGAGAAGTATGAGTTCTCTATATGTTTTGGAGATTAACCCCTTATCTGATGTATGGTTTGCAAATATCTTGTCCCAATTGTTAGGTTGTCTTTTCATTTTGTTGATAGTTTTCTTTGCTGTGCAGAAGCTTTTCAGTTTGATGTAGTCCCATTTGTTTATTTTTTCTATTGTTTCCCTTTCCTGGTCCGACGTGGTACTTGAAAATATGTTGCTGACACCAATGTCTAAGAGTGTACTTCCTATGTTTTCTTCCAGAATTTTCATGGTTTCAGGTCTTACATTCAAGTCTTTAATCCATTTTGAGTTAATTTTGTGTATGGTGTAAGCTAATGGTCTACTTTCATTTTTTTGCATGTGGCTATCCAGTTTTCCCAGCACCATTTGTTGAAGGGACTTTCCTTTCTCCATTGCATGTTCTTGGCTCCTTTATCAAAAATTAGGTGTCCATAGATGTGTGGGTTTATTTCTGGGCTTTTGATTCTGTTCCATTGATCTGTGTGTCTGTTTTTGTGCCAGTACCATGCTGTTTTGGTTACTATAGCTTTGTAGTATATTTTGAAATCAGTGTGATACCTCTAGCTTTGTTCTTTTTTCTCAAGACTCCTTTGGCTATTTGGGGTCTTTTGTTGTTCCATATAAATTTTAAGATTCTTTGTTCTGATTCTGTGAAAAATGTTGTTGGAACTTTGATAGGGATTGCACTGAATCTATAGATTGCTTTAGGAAGCATGGACATCTTAACTATGTTAATTCTTCCAATCAAAGGGTACAGAATATCTTTCCATTTATTTGTGTTTCTTCAATTTCTTTCAGCAATGTTTTATA